ATTACAGTGGAGTCAAACCAAATCAATATGAGCATCTCCTCTGCTGCAGTGACAGACTCTGCTGTGTTCTACTGTGCTGTGAGGCCCACAGTGACAGGAAACACCAACACTCTGTACACAAACACCAGCTGACACACTGACAAGCTGCTGGAAGCCTTTTCTCCACACTGTTGTACTGAGCTGTTCACCTCCACTAGAGGGCCACATTATCAAGTAGGCGGTGCACGTCTTCTGCACTGTGTTCAACCATCCAGTCAATAAGAAGTGCTGCTGTGAAGAGAACCATCCTCACACTGAATGCTGAACATCAGCTACTTCCTGCTGCTGATTTAAACCTTGTTGTAGAGATGGAACATTGGCTGTGGATTATTCTTGCTGCTCTCTCCTTTGGTAAGATAGAAACTACAACATGTTTCTAGGTAACTGTTTAAAGCTACTGATTGTTCTCCTTTAATCCATCATCTTTATTGATTCATCTCTTCCTCTGCATGGTCTCTTCTTCCCCAGAGTGTAAAGGACAAGACACAGTGACCCAGCCAGCAGTAGATGTCAGCGCTACTGAAGGAGACACAGTTACACTTGGCTGCACATTTCATATCAGTGTTAGCTCGAGTGCATATTTGTTCTGGTATAAACAAGAAGCAAATGATCTGCTTTTGTTTATTTTGCGACGTGATACTTATGGAACAGAAGATAATGCTGCAGAGTTCAAGAAAGACAGATTTGATGCTACACTCAATGACAAATCAGTTCCTCTGCAGATCTCCTCTGCTGCAGTGACAGACTCTGCTGTGTACTACTGTGCTCTGAAGCCCACAGTGACAGGAAACACCACAACTCTGTACAAAAACCTCTGGAGCAAAGACAACACAATACTGCACAGCATCCACCAGGGGGAGCCTCTCTCTGTTAAACATACAGTGTTGCTGGCTGCTATACTACCATACAAACACATGTACTGCCTTTGATTCACATCCAAAGGTTCCAACGTGTAACTCAATCAGTGAATCTGGCCTGTTATCACAGGTACAAATACAAGTAAGTAGTCTCCACAAGAACAACAAATATAAGTTTTTCAGTTTTTCTGTCAGTCTGTGATTTCTTGTGGTGTACCACAGGGTTCAATCATATGTCCTCTCACTTTCTCATTGGATTCGGTTTATCACTAAGCACAATGTGATCATAGGTTTTATTGTAACAGCAGCTTGTGTTGTGGTGTTCAAGACCTTTTAAATGTTGGGTATGAAGAAAAAATCTTATTAGATTAAGATCATTTTAAACAGATTTCTCTCTCGATGAAACACCTCTCACTAATCTGACTTCATGTTAACGCCCGTCATTGTTACGTTTTTTTTACTGACTGATCAAACACTTTAAATCACCTCTCTCAATAAACTGGTACACATCAGAGACTCAAGTTTTGATTGCTTTTGTGTAGACAATAACATTCTCTGTTGGTCTGTGATTAATTGTGGCGTCCCACAGGGTTCAATCATAGGTCCTCTGACTTTTTATTTACAGACTGCCTTTGGATCTGTTACCCAGGAGGAAGTGTAACTGAGAGAAGTGAAATACAGATCTAACCCCTCGATTCCACCGGGTCCGTCTGCGTCGCGTCATGGCTGCGCCGCGGTTTTGGTCCGGTGTCATACCCTACCGGGCGCGTTTCAGAAGCATTTCAGAAGCATTTCAGAAGCGGAGCGTCTTGTCTGCCGGCTCGCAGTTTTTGTTGATTTGGGCATATTTCCTGGACAGGCTACTTTGTACAGACAAAGTTAATAATAATTGTAATATTCCAGTTATAAACGACATGAATCAAAGATGTGTTGCTGTATTTTAGTGGTAAAAAAATGCATTCATCATCATAATTATTCTATATATATAATTTACACAGTGCCTGTAAACCGGAGAAGAACGCTGGCATTTCCTCCTACTTGAAAGACTACGGAGGGATAGGATCTGCAAATTTAGTTTATTTTGGGGATGGGCCGGATGCTCTGACCGGTCCACTTCCTGCCCGGCGCCTCTGCAACGCCTCGCGTCGAAAAATAGACTTGAATCCTATTTTGAGTGGAATAGTGCAATAACAGTCTATATGCAAGTGATTGAATATGATATATTAGATGCATAGTTTATAAGTAGCAGCCAGATGAATGTTATGGATGTTGCTTCAACAGTTCAGGCGTTTAACAGATGTTGTTTCAACAGTTCAGGTGTTTAGCAGTCTTATTGCCTGTGGGATGAAACTGTCCCTGAGTCTGGTGGTTTTTGTCCTGATGCTGCGGTACCGCCTGCCAGACGGCAGCAGACAGATCAGTTTGTGGCTGGGGTGATGGGGGTCTTTTGTAATCCTGAGGGCCTTCTTCCTGAGCCGCTGGGAGTAAAGATCCTCCATGGATGGCAGCTCCGTCCTGGTGATGTTCTGTGCAGTTTCCAACACCCTCTGTAAAGCCTTACGATTGAGGGCGGTGCAGCTGCCGTACCAGGCCGTGATGTAGCCAGTCAGGATACTCTCTATGGTACACCTGAGGACATGCAAATATGTTTGTTGTCTACTACAAAGACAACCAATGATCTTAAAACTAAATATATATCTATATATATATATATTTAGTTTTACATTGTGATGCAAAGCACCCTGTTTGTGTATGAATTCATTGCTTTAAACCTTTTTTTTCCTTTCATTTAAAATCGGCACCCGATTCAGAGAATCACCCAGCTAATGTTTGCTAGCTAAATAGCTAACTCAACAGCACACTGACAGGGTCATCATAAAACGGCCTCGAGGTTAACTTGTTTTCTACAGGTTAACACTGTGGACATTCATTTTCTTCAGCAGACAGTAGCTAGCCGTTTTCGACAGATACAGCCCACTCAAAAAATATATTGTTTCATATCAAACGAATTGAAATATATATATTAGCTATACACTTTACGAATATAATATCAATCAATCAATCAATGTTTATTTATATAGCCCAATATCACAAATGTTACATTTGTCTCAGTGGACTTCACAGTTTGTACAGAATATCAGTATGACAATACGACACCCTCTGTCCTTAGACCCTCTGTCCTTAGACCCTCACATCGTACAAGGAAACACTTCCAGAGAAAACCCACAGTTTATAGGGGGAAAATGGGAGAAACCTCAGGGAGAGCAACAGAGGAGGGATCCCTCTCCCAGGACGGACAGACGTGCAATAGATGCCGTGTGTAAATCGAAGAGAATACATTTACAGCATAGGTAGACCGAATGTTTGGAAATGCATGTGTCTATAATAATAAGATGAATCCACGAGGATGTCAACAATCCTGTGGGAGCCATCAGGGAAGTAGTATGACGAGACCTAGGCAGGACCACAGAGACAGGTTCAGCCACGACTCGAAGTCCAGGACTCAAATCCAGAACTCAGGATAGAGGATCCAGGACACAGGACCACAGCAACAGGATCAGCCTCGACTCAGGATCCCGGCGTAGATATAGACACAAAAAAGAAATGTTGGGGGAAGCTGGGTTAATCGGAACATGAGAGTACACAGGTACAGACAGACAGAAGGAAGAAATAAGGTGTCCCCCGACAGTCCAAGCCTATAGCAGCTAAACTAACGTGTCTACGTACATGGACTCCCTTAGGATAGGTTGAGGGATAAGGGGTAGCAAGTAAGAAGTAAGGAACAGAGGTGGAGAGGCACACACAGGGAGCAAGGTCCCCACTGGAACCTTAATTGGAATTTGTGAGAGGTAAGGAGGTACGCTGTGAATACGGTCTAAACACTCCCCGGCCGGAATAGGCCTCTCTGTAACCTGTTACCCTCGAATAGAACCTCGAGAGGTCAGAGAGGGGAAAGGTTTTGGATAAAAAGAAAATAGAATAAATATATTACAGGAGTAGAGAGTATGAGAAGTAGAGAGAGAATAGATTTAGAAGAATGAGAAGTAGTAATAACCTTAGTTTTAAATATAAGATCTACATTTTTAGGATTTAAGTGAAAGAGTAAGAGCTCAAATGTAGGTGAAGAGGCACAACGTGTCTACGTCAATGCACTCTTGTGTCTTGTAATAGTTTTTTATGGACAACTTTATCATTAAATCTCGTCCAACTTATCTTGCTGCTGTAACTGCTCTTGGAAGTTCAGGCAATGATCAAACCTGGCAACTCCGGGCTTCCTGGCAGCTGTCAATCAAAGTCCCGTGGCTCCGCCCCAAAGTGTCAGAAACTTTTCACGCGCCCGCAGACAGACGCCGCGAGCGAGGGAGGCTGACACCCCCGCGAGCGAGCAAGAGGGCTGTCTCTTAGCCGCTCGCAGGGTTTAATCTGCGCGCCAGGGTCATTTTATGCGCGTGTAAAAGCACTTTTGAAACCCCTCTTTAAGGGTCACACATGCAGAGCACACAGCACACACAGTGACATTTGGCCTCTGCATTTAACCCATCCTAGTACCAGGAGTCTAGTACCAGGAGCAGTGGGCAGCTATTGTACAGCGCCCGGGGAATGGGAGTGGGGGAGGAAGGGGGTTGTCCGGTGCCTTGCTCAAGGGCACCACGGCAGGGCAGGAGGTGAATTGTGACCTCTCCAAGTAGCAGCCCACACTCCATATTTAGGTCTGTTTGGGGACTTGAACCGGCAACCCTACGGCTCACAATCCAAGCCCCTACTGAATGTGCCACTGCCGGACATCATCTCTCATTTAGGAAATGGAGGAAAAATTTAAAATCCAATCCCTGGACTGAATATTACAGTGGAGTCAAACCAAATCAATCTGAGCATCTCCTCTGCTGCAGTGACAGACTCTGCTGTGTTCTACTGTGCTGTGAGGCCCACAGTGACAGGAAACACCAACACTCTGTACACAAACACCAGCTGACACACTGACAAGCTGCTGGAAGCCTTTTCTCCACACTGTTGTACTGAGCTGTTCACCTCCACTAGAGGGCCACATTATCAAGTAGGCGGTGCACGTCTTCTGCACTGTGTTCAACCATCCAGTCAATAATAAGTGCTGCTGTGAAGAGAACCATCCTCACACTGAATGCTGAACATCAGCTACTTCCTGCTGCTGATTTAAACCTTGTTGTAGAGATGGAACATTGGCTGTGGATTATTCTTGCTGCTCTCTCCTTTGGTAAGATAGAAACTACAACATGTTTCTAGGTAACTGTTTAAAGCTACTGATTGTTCTCCTTTAATCCATCATCTTTATTGATTCATCTCTTCCTCTGCATGGTCTCTTCTTCCCCAGAGTGTAAAGGACAAGACACAGTGACCCAGCCAGCAGGAGATGTCAGCGCTACTGAAGGAGACACAGTTACACTTGGCTGCACATTTCAGACCTCTTATACAGCCTATCTGTTCTGGTACAAACAAGAAGTCAATGGTTACCCAAAGTACATGCTGATGCGTTGGACAGGAACTGGAGAGAATGCTGAAGAGTTCAAGAAAGACAGATTTGATGCTACATTCAACAATAAATCAGTTCCTCTGCAGATCTCCTCTGCTGCAGTGACAGACTCTGCTGTGTACTACTGTGCTCTGAGGCCCACAGTGACAGGAAACACCACAACTCTGTACAAAAACCTTTGGAGCAAAGACAACACAGTACTGCACAGCATCCACCAGAGGGAGTCTCTCTCTGTCAGACTTCAGCAGAGTTTATCAGTCCTCTTTATACTCGCTGTAGCTCAGAGTTTCTCAACCTGCAGATATGATGCATCTGATTATCTCAGTGTTGCTGGCTGCTATGAGTCTTGGTATGAACTCTTTGATATCAGTCTAACATTGAGATGATTCTCTAACATGGCCCTGATACTGTTTGTTGCTGTTTTACAGAATGCAGAGCCCAAAGAGACAACGTGCTGCAACCTGAAGCAGGGGGGTGCTAGTGGACTAAACGGCGGATAAACTGCGGCGCATAAGCGCATAATAGTGTGCCGCATTTGTGCTTCAGATGAGGAGGTGAGGCCCCCTAATAACTGCATGAACCCGTATGGCACAATACAACTCAAACTGGCTTACCTGTACGTCAATCAAGTGGCAAATGCCATAGTAAGGATGGATGATTTTTTTCTTCTTTTCTTTTTCAATGCCATGCGATCTACCCACACTACGTTTGCAATCGACCGGTCGATCGCGATCGACGTATTGGGCACCCCTGCTTTAGGAGATAAGACAACTAACGTTCAAACAACTCAACCACCAGCAGATGCTTCCTTTCTCTTCACTGCTGGTTCATTCTCTATCTCTGCAATACATATTTATATGTTTATCTGAATCTCTTATCCATAGGGTTTTCTATATTAAAATATAAGTATTCTTTTATAATAAATCACATTTATCTCACAGGATCTGCATGTGTGTTGCGGACTTGCAGAAGGTTTATGATCATATTCTCTGAGTGTTGTGGGAAGAACTGAAGGAGTTTAGAGTACCAGGGTCATTAATATATTCGGTCTATCTAGAACCAGAGGAAGAACTTCCACCCTGTACTCAGCACAAACTCAAACACATCCTCCAGAGAGTGCTGCTCTCTGCCATGTTGTCCCATGTTGTTAGCGAGTGTGTACCACAGGGTTCAATCCTAGGTCCTCTGCCTTTTTATTTACAGACTGCCTTTGGATCTGTTATCCAGGAGGAAGTGTAACTGAGAGAAGTGAAATACAGATCTAAGAGGAGACAGAGAGATTCAGGGAGGAGCTAAGATGTTCCTGAACTATAGAAGAGAGAGGAACTTCCATATTCACCAGAGTTCAACACAGACCATCATCATCATCACCTTCATTCAACATGCCGTCATCACTGATGTTTCTTATCATTTTAACAGGTATGTTCAATTTTTATTGAATTTATTTAGTCACATGTTTGATGTGATTTATTTCTTCAGGCTTGCGTAACATAAAATAAAACGTTTTTTTTATTTTAGGCGTCAGCTGTGAAGATCTCATTGCATTACAGAAAGAAGAGTTCAGTTCAGAAGGCAGCACTGTTACTCTGTCCTACAAAGCTGATAAAGGCGTTAGCTTTGGGGATTATTTCTTCTGGTATCGACAATATCCTGGAAAACCACCAGAGTTCCTCATCTCATCTGTTTCAGACAGTGTAGGAAAACCTGGAATGGAGATTAAAGTGGAGTCAAACCAAATCAATCTGAGCATCTCCTCTGCTGCAGTGACAGACTCTGCTGTGTACTACTGTGCTGTGAGGCCCACAGTGACAGGAAACACCACAACGCTGTACAAAAACCTCTGCAGCTTCTCCCTGAACATTCACACACTTCAGATGCTCTTTTTTTTTTTAACAACATCGCTATCGAGTGGACACCTCGAACAGTACAGCTTCTCCTCTCAAAGTGACACACATTCAACCTCTGAGACTTCTGAGATGAAGAGCAGTTTTTTTCAAATCCAAACAGCTGACCACATAAACATGTCACAGTAGAGACACTAAATACTAATATGAACCTGAACATGAGCAGACAACATGTTGACTTGAGAGAGTTCACGAGACGGACACAAGATGGTGCCGTCTACACGCTGACAAGCCACAACTAAAAAGGTTCTCAAATTTGTATTTTGGGCCAAGTCCAAACCGACCCCTTCCCACCATCAAACCCTCCAACAGGAAGATATCAAACCCTCCAACAGGAAGTTATCAAACCCTCCAACACGGAGTTATAACAGCCTCCTACAGGAAGTAATCTGCTGAGAAACTACAGACAGACTTCAGTCTTCAGGAGGAGGTTTGTAGTTGTGTTTAGGAGTTAATGAACGCCTCTTTAGGACGGTCCTGGGCTTGAGGAGTATCCTGAACCGTGGACGGGATGTGGGTGAGTGTTCATCTCAAATAAAACATGAGAACAAACCGTGTGTAAAAACAAACAAACACAAAAACAATCGAAATGTTGACTTTAATTAAATGTATTACGCCAAAAGATTACACATCATTGGATTAGGTTCGTTGAAACCACTCATTAAATTGAAATAAAACATATGAAGTTCAACTAACCTAATACTATTATCTGTTTACAGAATACTTTTAATTAAAGTCAACCTTTTCTCAGTGTATCGGACATAAAATATTGGACTTTTTATATTTTAATATTCTCTAAACGACTAAAGCTACTTTCTTTGCAGAGGTATAATGAATCTTGAAGAATAAAAACTAAAATACCTGTTTGTAAAAAACACAGAAAAAGGGGATGAATGTATAATTTGAAACAAAACGAGCGTCTGATTAAGTAAATATTTATATTATATTTATAGAACGATGATGCAGCAGTTTTTGTCACAGTGTGAATGATCAGAGGCTTTATTTCGAAAATCATCAGAAAAATATGAATCTGTTTAAAAACATTTTCCAAAAAAAGAAAAAACCTTGATATTTAATTTGATGGCGTCAATTATTTTACATTTTATTCTAAAAATATTCTGAATTTAATTCTGCGACAAAACTTTTGACAAATCTGACAAGCAAATTAATATTAAAGTAGAATTAAGACTTTTTGAAGCGGCTGGTTTTTGTACAGCCGTCAGTCACGGTGCGAGAGGAACTACGGAGAAAATGATTTTCGGGAGAGGAGCTCGGCTCGTAGTGGACTCAGGTAACCTGGAGACATATAATGATATTATTTAAAGATTGGACTAAAATAATTCAACTATTAAAAAAAAAAAAAAAAAAAAAATCCTTATTTGATCAGTTTTGTGTTTCATTAAAAAAAATAGTCCAAAAAGAATGAATTCAACTTGAAACATTTATTTTTTTTACTCTGAATGAAAACAAAATACAGCAATAAACCTAAAATATAGAAAAACATGTTTCTAACCTTTAACATGACTATACAAAAGTAAAATCTAAAGTGAGAACAGGATCAACGTGCTCTTAAATAAATAACGGTGAACATTTTTGCACAAATTCTTTATAATAATCTGCAGTCACAAACAAATGAGTGTTTGAAAAAATTGAAAATGTAATCAAAAAAACAATTTACAAAACAAAACAAATAGCCAAAGGAATACAACATTTAAACATATATGGAAGCTCAAACAAAAAAACTTTAAATAATAATAACAATGAATTAATGAATACAAATATGTACCTGTATGTTTTTAAAAAGCATGATAATAGTTTTTAGATTTGTGTTAAAAAAATCACAGAAAATGTAGATTAAATTATTTTACCAGCTTCTTTGAGTTTATATACTAATAAAATATCAAATAGACAAGGTTTATTTTGGGGAGACGGTGCGGGGGGTTTTCAGTCAGACCTCCGACACAGTGTGACGAGTGGAACGGACAAAGTGATATTCGGGGGGCGAACTCAGCTGGTGGTCCACGCAGGTAATCTGGAAACATTTTAAATATACTAAAAATAATTATCCCACCTTAACTTTCATATTTGTATTTTGGTGATTTTTTACTTTTATCTCTCAATATAAATCACTTTATTGTCTTTCTGATCCTCAACTTTAAAACCACTTAATTGTTAATTGTAACTTTAAGTTTAGAATTTGTTCCTGATTTCATTTAGTCGGGATTTTTATATTTTTGATTAATAATATCGGCCGATTTATGAAAGGTTTAGTTCAGGGGGTTTGTGTCATGGAGCTTCATGCTGTGTGAATGCTGGAGGTGTAAATAAGATGTTCTTTGGAAGAGGAACCAGACTAACCGTTGAAACCAGTGAGTACTTATATACATCTTGAATACATTAAAAGGAACTTGTAGTTTTCTGTACTGCAACTTGAAAAATGTCAGGAGCTAATAAAACCCCAAAAAATGAAAAATATGTAAAAACAAACGAAGATTTGAAAACGTTTTAAAGAGCACAAAGTTTCTCTAGATCGTTAACATGTAATAAATCCATTACTTAACATTTCATATATAATACATATTAATAATCAGAAGTCTCTAAAGGTAAATCCATGTTTTTCTGAATGGACTTTGGTTCAGAGAGGTGTACAGTAAATATAAGAATATAGATATTATTCATGATATACCTTCATTTTGATATAGTATCTTTATAACATAACAAACTGCATTTATGACGAAGCCATAAATATCTCAGATTTAACAACATGACAATAACAATTAACAACCATCATTTTGTTTTACTATATAGCATTTTATATAGTTATCATTAATTTGTTTTACGGGATTGTTAAGACTTTTTTAACTTGACAGAAGACTCTGTTTTAAAATCCATGTTTCTCTGAGTGGAGTTGGTTCAGTTTGTGTCATGGAGCTTCATGCTGTGTGACTAAAGGTGTGAATAAGATCATCTTTGGAGGAGGAAGCAGACTAACCGTTGAAACCAGTAAGTAACGATATATATTATGCATAAATTAAAAATAACTTGTAGTTTTGCTGTAATGCAATTTGTTAACGAGTATCTATGAAATGTCAGGAACTAATAAAACCCTAAACAATCTAAAATAATTCAAGAAACCCAAAGATTTGAAAACGTTTTAATGAGCAGAAAGACCGTCTATAGCATTATAAATAAACACATCAATACGGTAACATGTATTTATAATATATATTAA